TTATAGCAAGTTCAGATACCCATGCTCACGGATTTTTAGTTCAGAGATCAAAATTCCGATTGAGGTAAAATTCAGAGACCATTGCTCTAATTATCTATTAGACTAAATTAAGATAGATAGATGGACAATTACAAAAGACACACAAACAGGACAGCGTGGCACTTTTACCAATCTCACACTTCCAACTTACTCTCTTTATGTTTAATAGTACTGGCTTGGTTTCAAATGTTTTGGTTCTAATTTGGAAGTTGGGATTTTCAGTCAAATGTAGGTAGTAAAATGCTTTGATCGAGAAGCATGCGTTCCTTAAGATAATAAAGTTCGTAAACCCTAATTTTGTTGATAGAATGTCACATACAAAGATCAAAGAAAATATATGAGCTTAAAAAGTTTTAAGCCCTTCCACCCATTGCTAACTTGCTATATGATTATGGGTTAGATATTAGCATTTAAGTCACACGTCACTTCACTTGTTAAAAATTGTCTACATGTTAGATACAAAAATGCCTCACGTTAGTGAGTATATATTTGCGGCTTATTTTTAGCTATGATAAAAAAAAAAAAAAAAATCTCACTTTACTTCTTGCACTCTATCACTCCATGTATTTATACTGTGTCTTACTTTACCTTATTTTGTTAAACTCCGTCATATAAACTGTTAACTTGTCACATTTTAATCTATTTTATAATTTTCTTTTAACCAATATCACATTAAAGACACTGCAAGTCAGCAAGTTAACGGTTTATGTGACGAAGTTAAGGGAATAAGGTAAAGTGAGACACAAAGTATAAGTACATTGGGTAAAGTGAAACAAAATAGAGTTCATACAGTAAAGTCAGGTTTTATGAAGAGTACATGTGTCAGTTAAAACTAAGCCTATGTTATATTTTATGTAAAATGTAGAGTATTGTTTGACATCGGAAATTGAAGAAACTATAAAAGAGCCAATATTTAGAAGAATGGAAGTCTTTGTTAAAAGAGATTTGAACCTCTCTATCCATTAGTTTACGAACTCAGTTCTAACAAATATTATTCATCTGCATAAGCAGAAAGAGGGGCAAAAGTTGCTTCCAAAGGAGACATGTTCAAGATGACGATGATCGTGGGTTGGCCCTTACCCTGGAAAATGCAAACCCTAGTGCTTATGCCAACCCAGCAAAAATCCTAGTGCGGTATTACCACGATTAAACAAATTAATTAAATCCATCATCTCTCCAAATTGGAGGTGGATTGTCTGCCCTCCCAGTTCCATATTCTTCCCATTCATTCTTGTTTGTGTGGTCATGGTTAAGCTACGTCAACATTTTATATTAATTTTTTTATAAAATAATAAAACAAAAAGTAATAGGAATATAAAATATTGACGTGACTTAACCTTGATCACACAAACAGGAGGAGATGGAAAGAGTATGGAAATGGGAGGGCAGACAATCCACCTCCTGACAGGATACCAAATTTGAAGGGAGGTGGATTGTCTGCCCTCCCATTTCCATATTCTTCCCATCCCCTCCTGTTTTGTGTGGTCACGATTAAGTCATGTCAACATTTTATATTCCTATTACTTTTTGTTTTATTATGTTATAAAAAAATTAATATAAAATGTTGACGTGGCTTAACCGTGACCACACAAACAGGAGGGGATGAAAAAAGCATGAAAATGGGAGAGCAGACAATCCACCTCCATCCTGACATGCATAGCCTGTTCACTAATTAACAAGATTATTTCTTAGTTTAGTACTAATTATTGAGAGTCCTAGGAGTTAGAGATTTTTTAGTGTGACCGGTACACATGATAGTACAATATGTGTCACTATACAAATTGTAAGATATATGTGCTAAATTTTTAATAATTTAAAAATTAAAATTTTTCAACACTCCTATTAAAACACGTGATATACCATTTCTATTCCCGTCACAATTAAAAATTTATCCTAAGAGTTAGATAGAAGACCACATTCACAGACAGCAGTCAGCAAACTATTGCGCCAAGTGCAAACAGACAAATATTTTACTCGTGAATGCGAACACCATCGGGAATTGTTGAAAGTGCGCAACACAACTTGGCCACACTGCTCTTCGATCTTGACTAGCAATTACCAAAACATATTATATCTTATTCAAAATCTTGCGAGATCAAATCAAACCATGCATGCTCGAAGACTTTTCTTGGGATTTTGTCACAAACGTCTGAATTAAATGGATCATGAAACCATTATCCTCGTTTTGAAGTAATCAATAAGGTTAAATATTACAAAACTTATCGTTCTTCCTGATTAGTTTTATTTATTTTTTACGCATTGGAATATGTTTCAAGTTCGAATCTTCTTCTAAAGAAAAAAAAGTACGAAATCTGATAATATTAGTAGACTGTATACATACAGAAAGTATATTAGAGGCTCCACAAGAACTTAAATATCTGCATCCCAATCAATCCCCAATTTAGCTACCATATCAGAGCTTCATTTCTCTTCCAATGAACATTCACCACATACACTTCTAGTTCATGTTAATTAAAGATTTGCATTCATCGACTAAACCCCATAGCTATTTTCGAAGACCCTCCTCTAGCTAATCTAGCTAGTGTTTTTTTTTTTACTTTTTTATCTGCACTTTGTCGTGCACTCATTTATTAATGAAACTTATGTTCATTCGTTAAAAAGTATAGCATGTGTAACGTATAGATCAGTTCCATTTTTCAAAAAAGTAAATCGCATGCAAATCTAATGGTGTATGTATCATGCATATGACCATTAATGTTCAAACCTTCTCATCCAACATATCCCTGTGTAGGGACAAACCCTAAAATACAAAACTTCTCCTACACTTTTGATCACTCCCAGAATTGGGTAACATTCAATCAAATGATAAAAGATGAAGCAAACCAAGTGACTGGAAAAAGGGGGATGCAGTTGCTTACGACAGGAGGCACATGACATAAGAAAATCCAATATGTCTCCTCTTCTCTTTTCCCATTTTGGCTGGTCATGCGTTGTCCGTCCCTCCTAAATTTCAATTTTTGGTGGCTTTCTTGTCGCTTTGTTTATGTTCCCACACATCCTCAATTAAAAGGAGGTTTATATATCAATTATCCCCACTCTATATGACTGAGCTGTAATCAGTATTTAGGGTCAACCTAACTCAGTATCTTTGTCAGTCTGTTGCGATCACAACCGTCCAATGCAAATCAGACAATGTGTAATTTTGACCTTCACTTGCATCGATCGTTTTTCTGCTAATACCCCAATTAAGATAATCCAGGAGATTTGCACTCTTCTATATGATCTTTAGCAGACACCAACTAATTAAAAATGATGCTTGGCCTTACTCAATGTCTGGTTATCTTGGACTTACTATACTAATTATGAATTGTTTGGAAATGCATTTTTATAAAGTACTTCTCTAATTTTTTTTTTGGGATATTTTGGATGCGGTCCCTAATCCTTAACATTCTTTGATTAAAACCTTAATATTATTCAAAGTTTGATCAAGGTCCCTTGACTTTGTATACCTCATTATATTACTATTAATATTTATATTTTTATAGTTTTGACATTAATTATTTGATATTTTATGAGATTTATAATCTTATAAATTTAAAATCCCTCATTATAATACTATTAGAAACGGTTACAATAAAAAAATTCAAACATTTTGATTGAATAAATGGATAAAAAATATGTAAAAATAAGAAATAATAAATGGCAAAAGAATGTATCCATAGTGTTAAAAAAATTGGTACATTTCACATATAACAAAGTGGTACATTAATAAAGAAGAATGGGTACATTAGAAATAAATTAGGGTACAAATAAAAGATTAAAATTTATGAATACAAATGAATTTTTAAAAATATAGTCGCTAAAAGAAAATTAGTACATGGGTACAAAATAAAATAAAAAGAAAATACTAAAAATTTAAAAAAAAAATGTTACAAATTAAAAGTGGGTACAAACTAAAAATATAAATATATGATACAAAGTTTAGGCATAAAACATAAATATACCATATGTAATTTTTCTATTATTGATTAAATATACAATGTCACGTGACAGTATATACATGGGTACAAACACAAATAAAACTTTAAAAAATATGGGCACAAAAAGGAACTAATATATGGGTACAAATTAAAAATGAAAAGAAAATTGGTACAAATTAAAAAATATTTGCAAATTAAAAATAGGTACAAACTAAAAATAAAATTATATGATGAAAAAATTTAGCCATAAATATAAATATACTAATTGTAACATTTTTAACATTAAAGGAATATATTTAAAAATAAAAATATTTTATTATTCAAATAATTAATGATGTTATTAATACCCAAGGACCTTGATCAAAAATTGAAAATGAATAGGATTTTAATCAATTGAGTAACAAAAAGAAGGATGTTAACCTAATTTTCCCTTTTTTTTTTATAACAAAAATGCAAAATCCCTTGAAGTACAAAAAACCACATATATAATAAATGTTCTTCTATGAAGTAGTGTTTTTTTTTAATATAAACATTGTTAGAAGGGTTTTGCTCATCTAAAACTGAAAAGCACAAAAAACCCTAAAAATTGATAGGGAAGTAATTTTACACATCTTTTTAACCTTTTACACTCATATTTAATTATGGACGGTTGATTCTATTTCACTTATCCAATTCGATGACTATAAATAAAAACACAGTGTTTAAAAAGCTAAAAAAAATATGTGGAAATATATAATGCATATGAACTCAACGTAAGTAAAAACCATATAGTTTAGGGAAAACTTTCATCTTGTCTGCTCGCCGACAAATGTTGAACATTGGCAGCTTTCGCGCATGTCCCTCTCTTTCTCTCAGCACAGAAAACTGGGCAAAGATAATTAAAACCGAACAAATCCACATAATTATTCAATCTCAAATTCTCTAAAAACAACGCAGACTAGTGTATAAACAAAGATCTAACACAAAAAAATTATAATAAAAAAAAACCAAAGTACTGTCTACTTTAGGGTATTATATATGCACACGAGTTCACACTGTTTTGAGTTCAGAAGCTCAGAAAAAGGAAGTTCCTGAGGCAGCAGCACAGACTGGTTTTGTTTCTAGCCATTTGAAGCTGAAATATGGACGAGGGCATGTCAGGATTTTGCATTAAAGCATCGAGTTTTCGCGATGGTGGTAATGGTAATAGTGGAACCAAGTGCGGGCGTTGGAATCCAACTACAGAACAGGTTAAAGTTCTGACTGACCTGTTCAGGTCTGGACTCCGAACGCCGAGCACTGATCAGATTCAGAAAATCTCCTCTCAGCTAAGCTTTTATGGCAAGATCGAGAGCAAGAACGTCTTTTACTGGTTTCAGAATCACAAAGCCAGAGAAAGACAAAAGCGGCGTAAAGTTTCTATTGATGACAAGGATATCATTCGTCGAGATCTGGAGAACATATCGTCTCCAAAACGTCCGTTAATCATAGCTGTTAAAATTTCTCTTTCTTGATTGACCAAAAAAAAAATTTCTCTTTCTTGAAGTACTTCGGTTTAGGGTTTTTCTAGCATGCACTATGCACCTGAATTTTCTTTTCTGATATGGTGCTTGTATTCTTTTTTCACGGTTTTATTTTCCGTTCTTTGCAGAAATAAATCAGGTTTCGGAGCCGGCAAGAGTGATTGAGACCCTTCAACTTTTCCCTATAAACTCTTTCAACGAATCTGAGGGAGAGAAGCTGAGATTTCACGCAAACGAATATTGCAAGGAGGCATCAGCTTTTACCTGCACTGTTGGGACAGAAATGGACCTTCCACCTTTGGATCTGCGTTTAAGTTTCCTTTGAATTACATGCTTCAAATATATGAGAAAAAAACGGAAAAAAAAGCTCCTAGCTAGCTAGTAGTCATGGTTGCCATTTGTAGAATTTGGGGTTTAGCAGCTGGCATGAAAGGGTGAACAGAAAGGTAGCGAGGGAGAGATAGTTGTTGAATAGTTTACGTAGTATTGACGCTAATTTGAGTTGTTGAATTAAGATATTGGAAATTCTTGGACATTCTTCTCTGCATGTGCACTTTCTTGTTGTTATTAATTTCTCTGTGATTTACTCTGTCGGATTTCTTGTTTGTATGAATGGCTTGGAAATTGGAATTTTCTCTTGCTCCACATGAGCAATGTCTCCTTGGGCTGCATAATTGTGAATAAAATACTTAAGCTTGGCCTTGGTCGTATGACATATACCTATTACTTACCTTGGGTCTGCTTCCCAGCTTTGAATTTCATGTACTAATCTTAGAGCTTCCCCACTTCCCCACAGCCCTCATTTATCCTTACTAAGTAAAGTAATACTCAATTCTCATCCACTTACCTTGATCTTATCCATCACATTTTATACTATTCTTAAATATCATTTGGAAATTCTAAAACTGCTCTTTCATTGCAGATGTGAGTGTATCTACATTGTTTAATAGATTGTGTTCTCTCGTATGCACTCGAGTTTGAATTACTCTCTTCGTAGTTTGAATTAACGGGAGGAGATTGAAATTCGAGCTTAAAACCTATTTTAGTATTGAAAAGAGGAGTGTTACTAGACTAGAAGTTAGTTGGTATGGGAGTGTCTACAACTTGTTTACTTCTTATGTATCCATAACATTGAAGAACTTTGCGTCTGACAATTAAACTAGGTGGTTCGACTCACTTACAAAGAAGCCGGTCCCGAAATATTTAGGTACCACTTGACCTTATGCAAGAGGAATATATATGGATATGGCCGACCGAACCAATAAGGCCATACAGCCATACTCATAAACCCAGGGTCCCCTTGTTTGTTTTTCTCACCTTTGCCCACCCAAATAGTCTATGCCCCATATGCCCGGCTGGATGCAAGAATCTCTTCTCATTTAGGTACAAATTTTATTGAAAAAGTTTCATTCCTTTGTAAATGAGTTGAACAATTTACCTGGCCTGATTGTCAGGGACACAAGAATTTCACCTTACATTGGGTGATGGTGAGAGGAGCATGTATGAGTACTTTGACACGAGTATCATTAGACTTGGCATTTTGGATCCGACCCGTTAACCCGATCCGACCTGTTAATATTAGTATTTGGATGGATGCTTAACGGGTCGGGTCGTTAACGGGTGAACCTGTTAACAACCCGTTAAATAACGGGTCACTTGGGGTCAACCTGTTAGACCCGTTAGTTGAGGATGTTTTAGTAATTTCAGTAAAGTCTTAACAACAAAAAATAAACTCTATGAAAAAAAAAAAATAATAATTGTTAACGGGTGAAACGGGTGACCCGTTAGTTTAATGGGTCGGATTCGGGTGACCCGTTAGCTTAACGGGTTGGATTGAACCTGACTCAAACCCGACCCCTTTACAGGTCTAAGTATCATGGGCCATGACAAGAACATCTTAAAAAATTTAGGTTTTTGGCTGAAACGATCTAACTTGAGGCGATGGTTGATGAAATAATTGATTTTTAGCATGTCGTTGATATCTCATCGTTGTGTCGTCAAAATTTAGTCTGTATTGATATTTTAATTCTAGATCACTTAGCCAAAGAAATAAAAGAAGGAAAAACAATTTACAAAAGGCCCAAAAGCAAATGTAGTTGGCCCATAATAAAACCCATAAATTCTGGGCTCAACCTTCATAAACAAACAAAATTATTTCAAATACAAAATTATCAGGTCCGGTGAGAGAACCGAAAGGAAAGAGAAGAAAGAAGAGCTGGGCAAGCAAAGAGCTTTTTCCATATAAATTAGAGAGAGAGACAGAGGTTTCCTGCAGAAGAAGCTAACTCAAAATTACTGCAGAAAAAGCAGGAAAATTCAGAGAAAGCAGAAGAAATCCAGCAATGGATGTGGTAAAAACGCAGCAAATCTCGGCGAGGCCGATCGAGAGGGTGATAGTTCACCCACTGGTTCTGCTCAGCATCGTCGACAACTACAACAGGGTCGCCAAAGACACTCGCAAGCGCGTCGTCGGAGTTCTGCTCGGCTCGTCGTACAAGGGCACCGTCGACGTCACCAACAGCTACGCCGGTTCGTTTATTTCAAGCTCGCCTAGTCCCTCTGCTTCTCGGCTATGTTTGAATCTCGTTTGCTTTTATTTATTTTTGAATAATTTAAATTTATTTGGGTGAATTTTCCTTTTTTTTTTATCTGATTAAGGAATTTTTGTTCTGAATTATGCTCCAAACTGTGGTAAATTTTTGTTTGGTCAGTGAGAAAATCTGTGTTTAGGCTCTACGGCATTGTGAAAAGGTGTATTTTTGTTAAATTATTCAAAAGAATGAGTGTGTTTCTGCTGCTATGAGCTTGAACTTGGAATTGGTTAAGCAAATTTAGGTTACGTTTGCATGCTGCTGAATGAATTTCAGTTGGTTTAGGCTGCATTTCAGAATTGAGATGTAGAAAGTTAAATTAGTTATGAGGGGTTGTCGCATTCCAGACATGCCTTTTGATAAGGCATTTCGAAGTTTAATTCGAGAGCTGCTGAGGTTGTTGTGGTGTGAAGTTGCGAAATTTCTGCTTTAATTTGCTTTCCAAATGCATAGACCTACACAATTTGAATTGATTTATGTACCGGGCAGTGCAGTTCCTATGTTTTTGTTTATCAGCATACTTTCTATATATTTGCTGATCAATGCGCTTTCTTTTTAATTTCCCATTGCATTTTAGGTTGTTTACCTCTCCCAGACCCTGCGTAAAGCGGGAGCCTTGTGCACTGGGTACGACCTTTTTTTTTTTTAGTTGATAGTCTGTAGCACGTGCATTCTATAGCCTGTAGCACTTGCTTTCTTGTACCATTTTGATTTTATTGTTTATTGGTTTTTCAAAAGAATTTGACGCAGTATCAGTCTCGAATTTCATGATTGCGGTCTTAAATTTAACTTACTGGTTTAGTTTTTGTGTTTTTGTTAGACTTAAATTTTTTTCTTATTTTGCGTTTTCATCTTGTTGCCTGTAGAACCTTCTATGTTTCTAGATCAAGTGCGTTACTTTTGACTCATATTAGTATTGATCTTTATTCACAGTTCCCTTTGAAGAAGATGATAAGGATCCCAGTATCTGGTTTCTTGATCACAACTACCATGAAGCCATGTATTCCATGGCAAAGAGAATAAATGGTATGAGTATATACTATGTCTCTTTCCCTAGATTCGCACATTATCTGTTATGATGCAAAAATTGACAAATAATTTTTTTTCCAGCAAAGGAGCACGTTGTGGGATGGTACAGCACAGGTCCAAAATTGAGAGAAAATGACTTGGACATTCACGGTTTATTTAATGGGTAAGCCAGCGTAAACCCTATGAAAAACATCTACTTGGTCTTGAGATTCCATTAGAATATGAATATCATGAATGCTTCTTATAACCAGTCTGGTCAACAAAGTTTAAGTGGAAGGACAACATGGAGATAATTAAAGGTGTAAGGTTCATATCGTTTAAATTGGTATCAGAGAAACTAATTCTCAACTGACTAGAAGAAGCAAATGTGTTCTTCAACCCTTATTTCTTAACTCTTGTCTTCATTTTGTTATACTGTGATACCTTTTTTTTTTTTTTGTGTAACTTGAATATTGGTAAATTTAATCAAGATGTCTGAGATTTTGGAAACCTTGAGGTTCTCCATCAGTTTTCTATAAAATATTGATGGTTGGTTATGAGGAAGCCGTATACCTGTAAGTGGTATTCTTATAAAATGGTGGAAATATTTTGTTTTTTGTTTAATTGTTTTGTCTCTATCATGGTGAAACATGCTTAAGCATTTTGCACCCATCAGCAGATACATGAATTCGTGTTTCTATTCATTATCCTTGAGACGTATGAATTCCTGTTTCTTTTCTTCTCCATTATATCACAATTTCCCTTTTGATTTTGCAGTTATGTTCCAAATCCTGTCTTGGTCATAATTGATGTCCAACCTAAGGAGCTGGGAATACCAACAAAAGCTTACTGTGCCGTTGAAGAGGTGAAAGAGGTAGAATCATGATTTTTTCGGATATGCCTTGCCTTTTGTATTGGTCTGGTCATATACTAAGTTCTTCCAAAACAAGCGTTATGGTTGGAGCTACTTTGACTTGAAACCTGGTTTTAATGCTATAAATTTGAATGAACATTTTGGTACGATTACAGAATGCTACCCAGAAAAGCCAGAAGGTGTTCGTTCATGTGCCTTCTGAAATTGCTGCCCATGAAGTTGAGGAAATTGGTAAGCCCATGGAAACTGAACTACCCTTTCTTGTAACATTGAATAAGACTTTTAAGTTATTGCATGCGCATATTGATTTCTTGCTTTCCTTTGTGGTTTGGTGGTCATTTTGTTTCTACTTATGGTTTTTATTGACCATATTACCCTTTAACAGGAGTGGAACACTTGCTTAGAGATGTGAAAGATACAACCATCAGCACTCTTGCAACAGAGGTTTGGTTTTGGTGATTTTATTCTCATTAGCTTCCTCGTTTTATTTATGCGCACACAGTATGTATGTATGTATGTATGAAGTCAATTTTATTAGATTTTCTTAATGCATATAAGAGGCGATACAAGAAACTTAGTTTCCAAGTCTTGTACAGGTTACAGGGAAACTCACAGCCTTGAAGGGATTGGAAGCAAGACTTAAGGAGATTCGGGGTTATCTGGACCTTGTTATTGATGGCAAGCTCCCATTAAACCACGAGATTTTGTACCACCTACAGGTTCGGTTTTGGCTTAACCTACATGTAGTGTAGGCTAGAATCTTAATGTAGTGCTAGTTTGATTTGTCTCATAACTTTTATTTCACAACAATGAAATATTGTAATTCTTTTGCCTACTGTTGATATTTTCACCCTCACACTCATACATTTTTCTTATTTTTCTATCCCAAATCCTTGTAGGATGTGTTCAATCTACTTCCAAATCTTAATGTTTCTGATCTCATCAAGGCCTTTTCAGGTAAAAAAAAAACCTACCATGTTTATCGCTTAGACTGCTTTATTGTTTAGATTTATGGTTCCTGCGTTAGTGCCTATTTTGTTAATAGTGTTGATTCATGTTGTTGTTGTCATGTGCAGTGAAAACAAATGATATGATGTTGGTTATATATCTTTCTTCCCTCATCCGAAGCGTTATTGCTCTTCACAACTTGATCAACAACAAGGTGAGATGCATTTCCATGA